GTTCCCAAGGTGCGGAGGCCTCAGGGTGCTCCAGACTGATGCTTTGGCACCCACTCTCCTCAACAGGGATTCCTGGGCCCCCAGCTATCTCTCGACTTCTTTACTGAGCACCTACTGTGTGCCAGGCACTGTGCTCTGCACTGGAAGGGTGAACAAGATTTACAGTCCTTGTCCTTGTAGGGTTTACCCTCTAGTGTTGTAGTGATTGGCTAATTTAAGGGCAGGTGACAGTGGGTGATTAATGCTCCAGGGCCCAGCTCCCACTGTCATTCTGCTTTCTCCCTATCCTGCCCCTAGCCTACCCCACCCCCGACTCTGAGCCCACCTGGGCATCTCTCGTGCCCATAGCAGCTGGCTCTGGGCACCAGCACTGTCTTTTCTCCCACCAGACCCCCCCAAGTACAATTTGGTTGTCACCATCTGGCTCCATGAGCTGTAGCTGCAGCTGAGTGATGTTCCCATGTCTCCTGGGGATGGCTGGGGGTCCACAAAGAATGGTTCCTCAGGACTCAGTGGAACCACAAGGGCCCCCCACCCTTCGCATTCAGGGCAGAAAAGAAGAGCCCTCCTTTGTCATCATTCTGGAAAGGATGGCTCCCTGGGGACAAGGTTCTGGGTTGTCACAAACAGGATTGTCAAGCCAAGAGCCATTTATTCATCTCACAATTGCCTAAGTGCCTCTGGTTTTTAAAAAATCATTGATTGTGTGCAATGTGGCAAACCTGTCACTTGCTTCTGCCTTGAATCCCCATCACCGCCATTTGCGGTGAGGAAGTGGGGCTCAGAGAAGAGGTGGGCCCTGTTCAAGACACCCAGCAAGTCCAGGGATGCTGGAACCCAGCCCCAGCCTGGCTGCAGGTCCAGGCCCCTGCCGTGGGCACCCTGCCTGCAGCTGCTGCCTCCACTGCCCTGGGCTTCCCCTGACAGAGGAAGGTATTATTAGCCTTGCTGCAGGGGCCTGGGGACTGCACTGTGGATTAACTACCTGAGGCCATGCCCTGCTCTCTCTACCAGCCGCCACTGCGGCAGAACTGCAGTCAGGATGAAATAGAGCCACAGAAAAACCAGCAGAGCCAAGGCCATAAACTATCTCCCTCTGCCAGGAATTGCTGAGTGCCTCTCACAGGGGGGAGACGGCTCTCAGAATATGGCAGCTAGAATGGAAGAGGGGAGGGCAAGGGGTCCCTTCCTGGTCCACACTGCACCCTGGGAGGTTACAAAGGGGGAGGGGGCAGAAAGGACATTCTGCTAGACAGAGGCCAGATGCTATTCTCTAGGCTGCAGGCAGGGGACGGGTGTTGGGGGGGTCAGTCCCTTCTGCAGCCATCTGTATTCGGGGACCTCTGGCATTGCCGTATTTCTGTAGGAGAGCCCGATGATGGCCTCGTAACAGAATAGTGAGGGCTCTGCTGTACTGATATGTCCATCAGACCTGCCCCTGAGGGGAACATCATGCCTTCCAGAGAGAACAGTGAGCACCCAGCTGAGGGGTGTGCATGTACACACGTGAGCCTTTGCCCAGACGCTGCCAAAGGAAGAGATCAGTTTAGAGAATTAGAGGCCAGCCCACTTTGCATGGCTTCTAGGAAGCATGCATGGAAAATAAGGATTCAAGAAAAGAAATGTTGCATCATTCAATTAATTTTAGCCTGAATCGCAGTGGCAGGGGGTGGTTGAGATGTGGGGGGGTGTAATCAATACCCAGCATTCAGCTTGCTAACATGAAGCACATTTCATACAAAGCCGGACATTTTTCTCCTTGTCATACAGAATTATCTTAATTATTGTTTCAAGGAACAGCCTTATATAGCATCATCTAGTAGTCCAGGAGGCAGCTCAGAAACTCGTCACTGGAATAATTTATGATTTTTCTTTCTAACATCTTGGTCTTGTTTGATATGCTTGCCATTTCTCCCTGACAGGGAGGTCGATTAAATCACATTTATATTGTAAACGTATGCATTGCTTTTTACCCAAGGCGCTGGATGAAGAGATACAGGGGCCCCAAGGGAGGGAGAAGCCAATCCACTTTCATATTGCAAATTTCTGCTGTTCGGAAGAAATGAATGGTTGCCAGGGAGAACTGGGAATTACTTGAGGATGCAAAATGTTATTTTAGAATCCTTTTGAGAGGGTTTTTTTCCCTCCCCCACCTCCTCCAGCATTTTCACTCCTCCAGCTGCTAATGGAGGCCAGCACCGGTCTCTATGCACACGCCAAAGGAATGCACTTCACCGGCATTCTTCAGGGGATTGGCAGGAGCCAAGTTTCTTGCTGGCTGACCTTAAGCAGGCTGCCTCTTGGCCTCAAAGCAGGGTGGGGGACACGCAGAGAGAAGAGGAGCTATTCACATTTCGCCAGGCATTTCATCCTCTCATATGAGGCTAGATGGGGCCACTGTGGAAGCTGGATGTTGGATTTGTTGGGGGTGGGGGGTTGTAAATAACAGAAAGTATTCAGAATGAAGAGGGAAACGGTCACTAGCAGGGACCAGGAAGAAGTGATGCTGCGCCATCATTAACCTAACCGAACTAATTAGGAAACATTCAGGTTTTATAAATTATGCAAGATGCTCAATTTATACTTTTTCAAATTCCTACCATAACATAGATAATGAGGGAACATTTACAGTAACAGCATAACCTAATCAAGAAACCCTTTCATTAGCATGAAATCTTCCAACACGGTGTTTTCGAGCACAACAAACGGAATTATAGATGCCAGGTGAGGCCAGGGGGAGGGCTGGATTGAGGGGTGGGTGGGAAGAGGGTGCTGATTTCACATTTGGCGAGACCCATGGCTCTAAGAAACCTCCTCCTCCCACCCTTGGCATGAAATGGAGCTTTCCCGAGGTTCAGTCGTGCAACAGGGATGGAAAGATCTGAAAGGTCCCTCTGACTTCCCAGCCCACTCTGGGTGATTTATAACCACCTCCTCTGTCTTGACCCTCTGATCCTGGAAGACTGATAACCGCAGCACAGACCAGCCCTTTCTGCAGGCCAAAAATGACTCATGGAGGTCGTGAGTCAGGCTCCTGTTGAAGGTGTCATTCTGCATACCTGTTAGACAGATGCCTTAAGTTCCATTCGCAGTGGTGACTTTGCCTGGTGTTTCCAAGCTCACTGCCAGTGGACAAAAGCAAGGAACATGGTCCAGGGGCTATCGTGGAATCACAGGACACAAAGGGATCCTACCACAAAGGGATCCTATAGCAGATCAGTGGAGCCAGCTAAAACTAGGAACTCAGTACCTCCTAGGGAAGCGCCTTCCGTGCTAAACAGTTAGAAAGTCTTTCAAAGGCTCCCATAGAGAAGTGGGGGAGAGCACAGGCTGCCATTGATCTCCACAACTTCTGACCCTCTCTGTAGTGGGTTGAATGGTGGTCCCTTGTATTAAGTCAGCTCAGGTTGCCATAAAAAAATGTCATAGTCTACGGCCATAGCAGCCTGAAAGCACCCAATCTCGTCTGATCTCGAAAAAAATGTCATAGACTGAGTGGCTTGAACAACAGAAATTTATTTCTCATAGTTCTGAAGACTAGAAATCCAAGATCAAGGTGTTGGCAAGGTAGGCTTCATTTTGAGACCTCTTCACTTGGCTCATGGGCAGTTTACAGTCTGCTAATATGACTTCCTAGTGCAAGCTTTCTGATGTCTCTCCCATCATGGGGCCCCACCCTCATGACTTCATCTAACCCTAATTACTTCCCAAAGGCCTCATCTTCACATACCATCCCATTGGGAATTAGGAACTCAACATATGAATTTTGGCAGGACACAAACATTCAGTCATTCAGTCCATAACACTCCCCAGATATCTGCCCAGGACTTGTGAATGTGACCTTATTAAAGAATAAGGTTCTTTGCAGATGTAATTAAATTAAGGATCTTGATATGACATCATTCTGAAACACCAGGGTGGGCCCTAAATCCTAACCAAGAAACAGGCAGTGAAAAGACAGAGGCAGAGTTTGGAGCGATGCATTTACAAGCCAAGGAGTGCCAAGGATTGCCAGCAGCCACCAGGAGGTGGAAGAGGCAAGGCAGGATTCCTCCCTAAAGCTTTGTGGGAATGCAGCCCTGCCACCTTGATTTTGAACTTATGGCTTTCATAACTGTGAGAGAATAAATTTCTGTTTTTTAAAGTCACCACGTTTGGGCCGGCCCGGTGGTGCACTGGATAAGTGCGCCGCTTGGGAAGTGCACCGGCGCTCCCGCCCGAGGGTTCGGATCCCACATACAGACTGGTTCCCGCTCACTGGCTGAGTGAGGAGCGGGAGCAACACCGAGGGTTGCCCTAAAGCTTTGTGGGAATGCAGCCCTGCCACCTTGATTTTGAACTTATGGCTTTCATAACTGTGAGAGAATAAATTTCTGTTTTTTAAAGTCACCACGTTTGGGCCGGCCCGGTGGTGCACTGGATAAGTGCGCCGCTTGGGAAGTGCACCGGCGCTCCCGCCCGAGGGTTCGGATCCCACATACAGACTGGTTCCCGCTCACTGGCTGAGTGAGGAGCGGGAGCAACACCGAGGGTTGCAATCCCATTGCCGGTCCCCGGTCCAGTATGGGGGCAACACTGAGGGTTGCAATCCGTTGCCGGACACGGAAAAAGACAAAAGACAAAAAAAATAAAAAATAAAAAATAAAATAAAGTCACCACGTTTGTGGTAATTTGTTACAGCCACCTAGGAAACTAATACACTCCCTAAGCCTCAGTGTCCACCATCTGTAATGGCAACAGTAACAGTGACCAGCACATAGTAAGTGTTCAATAAATGTGAGCGATTGATGTTAGTGGACCCCAGACCTGCCTCTGAATTCTACCCACTTGTGCCAGGAAGCCTGCTCCCTCTCCTGCCTTCAGAAACCAGAAGACAGGGTCTTTTACGCTAAGAGCTAAATACCCCTAGTTCTTTCTACTGCTTCTTGAGTGACATAGTTGTACATCATTTCACTATTTTGGTAGCTGTCCTCTGGGTAACCCAAGGCATAAGCCGTAAGATGAGCATTGGTGAGTCAGAGCACGACATAGGGTGTCACTTCACTTATTCTAGAACCATTAATTTATTCACTCATCATTCATTCATTGATCCCTTGAACAAACATTTGAAGGATCTCCTAAGTGTCAGGAACCATGCGTGGAGCTGGGGATATAGTGACAAAAAGGCAGAGGCCCTGTGCTCCTGAGTTTCCAGACTAGCTTCTACCCTTCAGACTAGCTTTCACCCTGTTCCTACCACCCAACTGAGACCCGTTCAGCAGGAAAGGGCCTGCTGGGGGCAGATCCTGCCTCGGTTCTGAGTTTCTTGAGACCCTGGGGCTTATGCAGGTCAAAGCATGGGGATCTCTGGATCTGTCTCATTCATCAGAGTCTGGTTTCCCCACTACCACCCTCCTCCTGGCACAGAGGGGATATTTCAAATGCCGTCATGGATATTACCTTTGCTATAACCATTCAGAGCGTGAGCTTCAATTACCCAATCTCTGGTCCTCTGGTGCAAGGAAACCCACGTCAGTGCTGGGGAATGTTCGCTCCCACATCATTACCCAGGTTTCCATATTCCCTCCAGGAATTTGCAAGCTGCAGACTGTAAATTCTGCCAGGAGAGGCCAGGGACAAGGGAGTCCTGCTTTACCTTCATAGCCACATGGGAGAGATGGGTCTTGGGCTTCTCCCCCTCTAGTTTTACCACTTGCAAAAAAAGAGAAAGAAGCAAAATGTTTCCAAAATTACTCCCAAATGTTCCTCTGAAAACCTTAGGCTGACCCTGGATGCCAGTGAACTATTCATAGGGTGACAATTTCATAGATCTTGGTCAGTGAGCATAAATCTCTGATTTGGGGGTTGGGTGATTATGGCCCCAGTTTTGGCAAACACTTATGCAGATATTCCCAAACATGTAGTTGTTTGGCACCAGAACAGCACATCTGGAGAACAGGCTAGAGGTTTCACATCCAGAGCTTTGCAAGTCAGGCTGAGACAGTGCAAAGGAGTAGCTGAGGTAACTGCTTGCTAAAGGCCTCTCCTTTGGCAGTTGGTGGAAGAAAAGCATCTGAGTCCCACGTCTTGCTGCAACTGCCATAAGCCCACAGAGCCGGTCACTGGCAAGAAACCTCTCCATTTTATAGATAAGGGAATTGAGGCCCCCAGAGGCTGGAGAAGGAAAGAGCTTGGAGTTAACAGATTGCTTGATAAGATTGTTTCTGAGAATAGATGACCCCACGGGGGTCAGTAGGACACATGTTCATCTTCATTCGATGGCAGAGCAAATAGAGGCCTGGAGAGGTGAGGAGCGGTACTCATGGTCCCAACCAGTGCACGTACAGCCAGCTGCTAGACCCAGCCACAGCTCCTGCCTCTGCAGCAGTAGCCTCTGCACCAACCAGGCTCTGCTGAGCTCGAGTGTGTGCCCAGCTCTGGGGGAGAAAGTAAAAGCCATGTATCCACATGTGGAAGGCACATCTTAGATATTTCATGGGCATGAGTAAATATTCAAGAGGAAATATATATTTCAAATGGCATCCTTTTGGTACCTAAAACTTAACAAGAGTAAGAGGCGAGGGTGTGGGTTGGGAAGTACAAAGACGGCTGCCTCTTAAAGCCTTGATCAAATGTAGGCAGTGGGAGGACATGAGCAAGGACTGGAAGTGGTTGTGAGCCAGCAGGGGATGGCTCTACTGCTTACTAGCTGTTACTTGTTACAGTTGCTGGAGGTCTCTGGGCCTTAGTTTCTTCATCTGTAAAATGGGGAGAATAATCACTACCCTATAGGGTTATTTCAAGGCTTAAAATACTATGATAAAAGTAAAGAGAAAAGCACAGTGCCTGGTGTGTCGTAAGCACTCAAACACCGTCAGCCAGTACTTGCAGCTGCTGCTAGAAAAGATGGCACATGGGGTATCAGGGAGGACGTGTAGCTAAGGCAGAGAGTTCATGCAGGGAGCCTTCCAACGCCAGGTGGAGAGTTCCAACCTGATACGATGGCAGACATGACGTGCCTTGAGCTTGGAAGGTGACAGGGTGAAGGTGCTGCTTGGGGCTTTACAAAAGTTGTTCTAAAGGCCAAACAATACTGGTCCACTCTGGAAGCCTAGCAGGTCAGCAGGGAGCAGTAGTAATCCTCACTCTCCCAAGGCCATACCTGGAAATTGGCTGCTTGGCACCACTCCTCCCCAAAGCCAGACATGCTGCCCATCATGTGGCACAGCAAATGACCACGCTGTGGCTTTGGTTAACAGCTATGACTTACAGTTACCGCTCTCTGTCTCTTTCTCTGTCCACCCGTCCCCCCCACCACCACCCTTTCTCTTGCAGTATAAACCATAACCTAAAAAGCGGTGCCAAAAAAATCATCCCAACTTCCTGGCAAATAGATTTCACCCTATCATTTATTACGCACCATCCATTCATCCACCCGTCCACCCACCTACCCACCCGCTCACTCACATATCCCTCCGTTCAGCCACCCACCCAGCCTCTCACATATCTGTCCATACACCCATCCACCCATCCACTCATCCACTCATCCATCCATCCACCCATCCACTCATCCACCCACCCATCCACCCATCCACCCATCCACCCATCCACCCATCCATCCATCCATCCATCCACCCATCCACTCATCCACTCATCCATCCATCCACCCATCCACCCATCCACCCATCCATTCATCCATCCACCCATCCATTCATCCATCCATCCACCCATCCATCCATCCACTCATCCACTCATCCATCCACACATCCACCCATCCACCCATCCACCCATCCATTCATCCATCCATCCACCCATCCACCCATCCACTCATCCATCCATCCACCCATCCATTCATCCATCCACCCATCCATTCATCCATCCATCCACCCATCCATCCATCCATCCACCCATCCACCCATCCACCCATCCACTCATCCATCCACTCATCCATCCATCCATCCATCCACCCATCCAGCCATCCATCCATCCATCCACCCATCCACCCATGCTTTCAGCCATCACATGCTATGCACTGGCTAGTCATGTGTAAAAACCAGCGCTGTATGTCACTTCCTGCTTTTCCCCCACCTCCTTAAAAATAATCTGCCTCACCCCAACTAAGAGGAGGGCAGAATGGATGTGTGGGAAGAAGCAGGAATATCTCGACAGAAAGAGGCTGCTCCACACAACACCATAATAAATACAATTACCCGTTGGTCTCAGTTCCTGTGAGGCCCCACTGAGGTGCAAGTCCTGTTTCTGGAACCCCGCCATAGCCTTAGATCCTTCAATAAAACTTTTTCAGGAGGTGTTTCAGCACCTTAAATGAGGCCAACTGAAGGTGACTGTGACCAAGTCTCCAATCAGCCCTCGTCAGTGCACAGGGTCCATCCTTTCTTCCTCCAAGATACACAGGAGCAACGCCTTTCCAGGGCACAGCCCTCTCCTGTGATCCCTGTGTCCTGGATACAAGTGAGAGGGGGGGTTATGGTAGCACAGAAATGCCCAGATCCACACCAGCAGTCATTAGCTGCAATGCTTTATTGACAGTCCCAACTAGCTCAGCTCAAACCCGCCTGGTGGTGAGATGCTAGTTGCTACACCATGGTAGACACACTCTGCTATTGAATTTTTGTTACAGGCCAGGGGCACAAAGGCAAACAACACTGAAGATGGAATAGAGGAGCAAGCAAAGTTCGAAGTTGGAAGAGACACCAGCTAGGGGAAGTCAAGGAGGCTGCCCAGAGGGGATGCCATCTTAGCTAGACCTTGACAGAATACCCCTTGTAGGAGGGTGCGAAGGGCATTCCAGGCAGCGGGAATGGCACAGGTAAAGGTACAGGGGCATGAACACATCTAGCTCATCTGGAGAATGCCGATGTTGTTCTATGGACCTCAGCTGGTCTCACCAGCTAGCAGCTGTGGCCACTAATGCCTCTGGGGGACAAGCGCAGTAGGGGACAGGGAAGAAGTGCAGACACACTTCCTTTAAAATTTCCTGCTTTGCTCCTTATCAATTAAAGGCCAGTGATGTCACCAGATGTTATCATTGCATGATACGATGTCCTGGAGATGGGCTCCCTCTGAATTTCACAGATGAGGTGCATGTGGCCCAGAAAGGTGAAGTAATTTACCTGAGGTCACCCAGCAAGATAATGAAACATCCATGACAACGATCCATTTTGCTGACCCCAGACCCCTGACATCTTCCCCTGGACCTTTCTCAGGGGAGGCAGCTGTGAGCATCCTCTGATTCCGTCACCAGCAGACTCTAGCGAGGCCTTCATTTTTTTTAATGCTGTTTACATATGAGAGAGAGATGAAATACAAAAGGCAGTCAGAAGCTACGAAGGGCACTCTGTCAAATTCAAAGTCCCTGGGGATCATGGTTCTCTTCTCTCCCCCTTTGTACCTCTCCTCCAAGCCCCTCTGATTGTTAGGAAAATAATTGAGGCCGCCATGTGACTCCCATCTGAGAGCTGAGGCTGGGTCAGGGAGTTGACGGTCTCCTCTGGCAGTGATGGAGGGGCTGGAGGCAGCGAAGGTTAGAAATGCAATTTCACAGAGGAGTTTAAGATGGGATGGGGGAGGGGACGTTGTTGCAGGAGGAAGGAGTGATTAGTGTGGACAGCTGCTGGGGCTAGCGGCAGACCTCCACAGCCCAGCGGGGCAGCCCACGGAGCCTGCGAGAGTGGGACTCTACTGCGTGTTGGTTTCTACAGAGAGCTCCTTCTTAGAGGCATAGCTTTTCCCCCTTCCAAGTCTCTCTGTCCTTTATGACTCAGCTTACTCCCCCAGGAAGCCTTCCTTGACACTCGTCGATGCTGAGCTACAAACCCCTTCTCTCTACAGCCTCATAGTATTTCTCTACTTCAGCCCTTATCACATGGTGCTGAGACTGGGTGCACACGCGCATGGGGCATATGTGCAGTTGTGTGTATGTTCGTATACCGTGTGTTGGGGGGCTGTGTGTGTGTTCGTGCCCCACTGGATGGGGCTGCTGGAGGGGAAGCCACACCTAGGCCATTTCTCTATCCTCAGTGCATGGCCCTGGGCCTGTCACGCGATAAAGTCTCAACATGGGAAGGCTGAACAAGAGAACACAGGAACTAGATGAAGAAACTGATGAATAAACTATCGTTAGAACACAGCTTGTAGGACAGGGACCTGCTCTGTTGATTGTCTGTCCAGCCCATGAGAATCCAGCTTCCTGGAGGGTAGGGACTTGGTCTAGATCAAACACCACTGGGAGCCCACTACCTGCAGCAGGCTTTTTCAACCTCTGCACTATTGACATTTAGGCCAGATAGTTCTTTGTTGTGGGGCCTGTTGTTCTAGGGTGTTTAGCAGCATCCCTGGCCTTTATTCATTAGATGCCAGTAGCAGCTACTGCCTCCCAGTTGTGACAATCAGAAATGTCTCCAGACATTGCCAAATATCCCCTGGAGGGCAAAATAGACCCCAGCTGAGAACCGCAGGCCTAGCGTAATGCCTGGCACAGAATCAGCACTAACCAGCTGACCTTTCGAAGAGCTGTGGCTATCTCTGGCTTGACTGGAAGACTGCCAGCCAGGGCATTGGCACCTGGTGAGGGCTGAAAATGTCAGAAGAATGTGAGAGCAGAATTTCCAGTCCCCCACCCACAGTATCAGCAGCCCGCACTGCAAAAGCATTTGCTGTCAAGTCTGGACTCACTGCTTCCCCCCAGCAGGCAGGAGCCACCTTTAATTGTCCTCCCACCCCAGGCCTGAGATGCTAATGATGTCACTTCCTGCCCCATGCCTCAGCACCCACATACCTAACAGACTGGACTCCAGTTCCTGAACAAAGAATAAGCATCCCTGGTGGCTCCTCTGTGGAGCCTGTTTCTCCAACAGCGCCTGAGGTCACACCCAGCTCTCATGTAAGCTCAGTTAACTAGGTCAGATCTCTTGGCTTTCTTCCAAAATTCCTTCCTCTGAGACCAATGTGCAAATGTTGTCTCTTGTAGAGGCTACCGAATTGTTCAACCACTAAGCCACAGTGGCTGGGGAGGGTGTGACCCTGATCTCTTGGCTTTCTTCCAAAATTCCTTCCTCTGAGACCAATGTGCAAATGTTGTCTCATGTAGAGGCTACCGAATTGTTCAACCACTAAGCCACAGTGGCTGGGGAGGGTGTGACCCTGAGGCTGTCTACTTGGCAGGAGAATTGAGAAATTGTGCGTGTGTGTTCACATGTATGTGTGTGCACATGTGTGTGTGTGTCCCATTTACCTTCTCTGGGAGGTTTATGGGGCTGAGACCAGAGGCTAAAGGCTGTCAGGACAGTGTCCCCAGTGGTCCTGGTGGGGAGGGCTGGTGAGACAGTTATGACTTGGCCGAGGCAGACAATTGCAGAAATACAAGGTCGAAGCTGGCCACATCTTCTGGAATGGAACCACCCATCGAGGAAGGTGGAACACAAGAGGAGCCCAGAGGGCCAAGGGCCTGCTTACACAGCCCTGCACCAACTGGTGTCGTCACACTGGGCACTCTTACTGGAACCAAGAACATAGGAAAAACAATGGCTGTCAGGACGGCTGAGACAGAGAGGACATTGGAGGACTCACTCAACTGAATCCTCTGGGTTTTTCCATCGACTGCACTGTCAGCACCTGAAGGGTGGGACGAAGAGCCTGCTATGGGTTGAATGTGATCCCCACTGTAACAGTGTTGGGGGTGAGTCCTATCATGGTGGCCTAAAGGTAGGGCATTTAAGAGGTGATTAGACTGTGAGGACTGTACCCACATGAATGGGTTAATCCACAGTGATTTAGTGGGTGGTCATGGGTGTGGTTCTGATGGATTTATAAGGAGAGTGCATGAGCAGCTTAGCTCTCTTGCTCAGGCCATCTGCCATGTGATACCCTGCGTTGATGCAGAGAGTCAACACCCATGAAATGGCCCTCACCAGATGTGTTCCCTGGACCTTGGGCTTCCCAGCCTCTGAAACTGTAAGAAATAAATTTTATTTCTTTATAGATTTTATGTCTCTATAAATGTTGTAAGCAGCAGAAATGGACTAATAAGGTGCCTCACGTTTGTCGTCCCCACAACACCTTGCATACAGTACAGAGTGCAGTGTTTGTAGGTCTGTGGGTGACAAAGNCTTTCTTCCAAAATTCCTTCCTCTGAGACCAATGTGCAAATGTTGTCTCTTGTAGAGGCTACCGAATTGTTCAACCACTAAGCCACAGTGGCTGGGGAGGGGGTGACCCCGAGGGTGTCTACTTGGCAGGAGAATTGAGAAATTGTGCGTGTGTGTTCACATGTATGTGTGTGCACATGTGTGTGTGTGTCCCATTTACCTTCTCTGGGAGGTTTATGGGGCTGAGACCAGAGGCTAAAGGCTGTCAGGACAGTGTCCCCAGTGGTCCTGGTGGGGAGGGCTGGTGAGACAGTTATGACTTGGCCGAGGCAGACAATTGCAGAAATACAAGGTCGAAGCTGGCCACATCTTCTGGAATGGAACCACCCATCGAGGAAGGTGGAACACAAGAGGAGCCCAGAGGGCCAAGGGCCTGCTTACACAGCCCTGCACCAACTGGTGTCGTCACACTGGGCACTCTTACTGGAACCAAGAACATAGGAAAAACAATGGTTGTCAGGACGGCTGAGACAGAGAGGACATTGGAGGACTCACTCGACTGAATCCTCTGGGTTTTTCCATCGACTGCACTGTCAGCACCTGAAGGGTGGGACGAAGAGCCTGCTGTGGGTTGAATGTGATCCCCACTGTAACAGTGTTGGGGGTGAGTCCTATCATGGTGGCCTAAAGGTAGGGCATTTAAGAAGTGATTAGACTGTGAGGACTGTACCCACACGAATGGGTTAATCCACCAGTGATTTAGTGGGTGGTCATGGGTGTGGTTCTGATGGATTTATAAGGAGAGTGCACGCTTTAGAAGGAGAGTGCGAGCAGCTTAGCTCTCTT